TGCTTTGCAGCGGGGGCCCCCCGCCGCCCCAGGCCCCTTCCCGCGCGCCCCCCTCCCTGCCCCCCATTGCCGTGCCCCAGCGCGGATTGCAGCATTGCAACTCCGGGGGTTTTGCAAAGCGGGGTTGCAAGGGGGGGGCTGGAGAGACCCCCTCTGGCCCCTCCCTCTCCGCCCAGCTGACCCTTGCGGGGGGGCGTCGGCTGGCGTGGAGGACCCCTCCCGCAACTGCATTTTTTCCGCTGTTGGAGCAGGCGCCTCCTCTGTCAAAGCGGCGGCGTTGCGTGCTTTCCTCCCGCTTGGGGCCCATCCTGCGCAGCCGGGGGGCTGGCTGGGGATGATGGGAGCCGTGCCCCAGCTTCTCCCCCCAGCTGCATTCCCAGCCCCCCCGTTTTTTGCCCTACTGTTCACTCTCCCCCAACCCCTTCTAGCCCCTCTCCTGTCTTCCTGCAGCGTCCGAGCAGAGCCTCCGGGTCCCAAGGCAGTCTACCTGAGCTCCGTTTCGGGGGCACCGCAGCGGGGAGCCTTTGTGGGCTTTTCAAGGTCTCACCCGGAGTCTGGGCGGAGGGGAAAGGGTGCCCTCTTTACCCCCCTGGCAACCGCTGGGTTTTGAAATGAATGCGGGCAGCTGTTTGGGGGTTAATAACCATTGTAATAGGATTGAGCACGTGTCTGCGGTAGGCAGGCAGGTGTCTTTGGGGACTTCTGGCTTCCTTTTCTCTGTTTCTTTTCCCCCTTCAAGTTGAAACCCAGATTTCCGTGCCTTTGAGTTTCTGGTTTCAGCTCGGCACCTGCGTCTTGTGCCGGGCAGTTAAACCCCACCAGGATACCCCCCTCCCATTCCCTCCCCCATCAGACCCCTTTTCCAAACACCTGCCCTCTTACCCCTTTGATAGATGCCAACTGGGCCTGCAGGGAGGCATCCATGTTCCCCTGGCTGGGTGGTCGCCTAGGAATAATATTCCTGCTCGCCCCAGGTGAGTCGTTATTTCCCAGGCTAGCCCCCCATAGGCAAGCCCTGCGCTCCCCTGCTCTTTCCACCCACAAACAACCCGGAGTGGGATTTAATTTCCAGATTCGGTCCTAGGACGCCATGGATCGGATCTCTGCGCATGTGCAGAGGCATTGGAAACACGCCGCGTGCCAAAGAGAAGGGCGGATTAGAAGAAAAAGTGCCCGCTGAATGCACTAGAGTAACAGGCGTGAGAAAACAAGTCCCGTGCGAATCAAAAGCCGCGCAAAAATGGGAAGCTGGTTAAAAGCCACCCGAAAGGGAGAAGAGAAGGCGCTCGGCGGGTCTTTCCTGGGGAGGGATGCCACGGATCGGGTAGCCGTCCCCAAAAGGCCCCTCTGTTGCCCTGGATTGCAGGAGGGCTGATCTGAAGCCTCCGAAAAAAGAGGTTGGCACGGGTGGCAATGAACGATTTCTAACCACAAGAAGCTAAGTGATCGGCGCTCCAGCTGAGGACTTGCACCCGGCGGGGAGGGAAGGCCTCTGTCTCTTGCACGCCCTCTCTCTTGCACACCCACCCGTCACGCTGCCCTCGGCCGAGAGCAGGCCGGGCAGCATTTGTTCTCGCTTGCTTTCACTTTCTCTGTCCTCCCCTTGGCGCCAGCGGAGGAAGTGGGAGGACGTGGACTGGCAGTGACCCCCTGACTAAATCTCTTGCCGGTGGAAGGTGCTGTTCTCCAGCCTCTGTGGCATGCCCAACAGTATTTTTTGCTGAATCTGCTCCCCGGGTGTGCAAAGCCTGGCAGAACGGCATTGCGCGTGGCGGCCAGCTGGTATTTCCTCGCGCGGGCCGTGCGGCCTCTGACGGAGACAGATAAACCGAGTCGGGGAAGCGTTCCGATCATCCCCGGCTGACGCAGCTGAAGGCACGCCAGGTTGGAGCATTTTTAAAAACGTTAAACAGGGAGAGCGTGCAGAGGCTGGGGAAGGGCATTGCCGGCTGGCCTCCCTCGCAGGGGGAGCGTGCGCATCAGCCCTAAGCCGGGATCGAAGTAGAGTGGAGCGTGCTCCACGCCTGCAGTGTCAGATAAGCAGCTGGACAGGAAGGCCAGAGGCTTATAAGCCGGGATGTTTTGGCAGGCTGTGCTTGGAGAGCTGTTAGCGCCAACCCCAAGCCAGGCGAGCAGGCTGGCAGTTCTGGGGTTGGGGGTAAAGGGCTGGCTAGGCTCCCCACGGGTTGGGCGGAGGAGAGCAACCTTGAGCATCGGTGGGTTTCATTCAGGGGGTCTCTGCCGCCTTCTTCCAAAACAGCCTCAAACGTGTGGTTTGCAAAAACCCGGTTTGCAGGGTGTTTCCGCTGCGTGGTGGAAGGCCATTGCAGGAAGCCGACGGTGCACCCGAGAAGACTCAGCCATTTTCCTGGAGATACTAGTTGTCTGTGTGCGGGGATATGCCACCGAGACAGCCACATCCTATGGGGAACGAGAAGATTTTGGGGAGCCGGAAGCGGGGTTTCTGCATAAAAAGACCCTGGAATTTCTGCTTCCTCGGCCCCCAGCACATCCC